GCTCCGAAGTTTAAGATAAAGTCTTATGAACTGTGTGAATCCAGCACAGGATGTCTGGTTTTTCATAATTTATACAGAGAAACGCATGGAATTCTGACAAAAGTAAAGTTGCAAGAACAGTGATTAAACTGTGGAACATCTTCTGGGTCATGGTCACACACTCTGTCTGGATGGACAGTTTTTATACTTCTCCACAGTTAGAAAGGTTCCTGAAACTAAAGAAAACATTGTTTTTGGCATCCTACATGCCAACAAAGAAAATGTTAGTGAAAGATAAATAGCTTAAAATGGGTGAAAGTTATAAAGCTTGACTAGAACTCCCACACAGGAGGAGTTTAAGTAAAATATCAAATGTTGGGACCATACCTACCAGAATGACGGAAAGGTTCCAAGGAATGTATAAAATTATTCAAGAAGCTACTTAATGGTGCCATACATAATTCAACAGTAATATATCAGTCTCTGCAATCAAACTAGGAAACAGATCCATTCAAATTCAGGCTCCATGTCATCAAAGGATTTATACATATATAACATACTAATAGAAGAGTAAAATTATAAACTAGTCTTATGTAAACTGAAGCGATAAAATCTGATACCTATAGACTGAAAATTACAAAAATTGAAAAATTTCACTTCAGAAGTTGAAGGGGTGGTTAAAAATACTGCTACACAATTAAGACCATTGAAAGATTCAAATTCACTCACTAAAAGTTTTTATTGAAAGTGCTCAGTGCCATGATTCCTAATCATATCATTCTATAACAACATTCAGTGAAAAATAATGAGACTACATAACCTTTTATTACAGGTCTAATACACTATTTGAACAGATCAACAGGCCAATCCCACTAACTGCAAATACATACCCCATTACAGTACAGTGAATATTATTACCAGCACTACTACCTCATACAAACAACGTGCTCATGGAGCAGCAGTGCTGCCAGTGTTACTGCTAAGAGGCAGATGGCTGTCTAGCCATGCTTCCAGAACAGGCAAATTCACATCACTCCACCGGGCTTCAGCACTCACTGTGCGGAGAGCCTGCTCCACAATTGATTCAGCAGTTCCAAATTCGCCCTGATGAGTCACATACAGTTCTGATACCTGGAACAGCAGCAGCAACAATCTCAGTGAACATTGCAATGAACTATGTACCATCAGGGTGATGGATGCTGGAGACAGTAAGAACCCCTGAAACGTTGGTAAAACTCTACCAGACTACATAGTGCTACAACCCAGAAGACAGCCAACTTCATAAATCTAATAAATGCTCTTAATTTTATATTTTTCCTCACTGTGATGAGAAATGTTTCATGAAAAATTACAAATATAGAAATGTAAACAGTGGACTGCCATTGCTTACCATGTTGTAACCTTCCAGTGTTTTGAACATCTCAGTTGCAGCATGCACCAGGTATTCCCACATATGAGACTTCCCTGTCAATCTGCAATGAAGACACATCCCAATGTTACTTTACATACACCACAGAAGAAAAATACATCTGGATAAGCAATTAAAGCAAACAGAAATGTATGACTACAAACAAAGATTTTGCATTATCTTGGGTTCACATTTCCTGTCATAATTTTTCATAAACTGTAATTTGTTTAGTGACTGCAGCAAAGTGAAGAAATAAATAATTGGATTTAAGACAGGTGAATTAACAAGACAGAAGTAAAAATTATACAAAGAATTTTATAATTTGTACTCCTCACCAAGCATTATTATAGTGATCAAATGAAAAAATATGTCAAGGAATGTATCAAGCATGACGTAAGAAAAGTAAATAAAATTTTAGCCAGCAAACTTGAAGGGAAGAAACCAGTATGGAGATTCTGGTGCAGATAGGGAAAGGAGATTAAACTGTATCTTGATGAAAAGGGTGTGAGGGTGTAGACTGAATGCACCTGGCTCAGGACAGGACCGAGCAGTGGGCTGCTGTGAACCTTCTAGTTTGATAAAAGGCAAGGAATTTCCTGATTGCATGAACAACTTTCACCTTAACAAGGACGCAGTTCCATGCAGTTGATGAGCACAAGGACTAAGGTAATTTAGCACTTGTGGTTCTGTTGAGAACAACTAAAACAGTGAGCAGAAATACTGAAATTAGTGGAAAGCTTAACAAAAGAACTCATGCAAAATGTATCTAGTACATCAGTCTGTAATAATGCTAAATTACAATCATGCTAGACAGAAGGCTAGCTGTGAAATGTGCTTAATTACATTTTATAATGCTATGCACTCAATCAGGTACACAATTTCCTGAAAGTGGGTCAACTCTTCAAGTATGAGTACCCCTGCCAGCCACTGCCTCCTGAGAATGACCTCTTTATTTGTACTTCTGTTCCTGAAATGTGTGGTCTGAACCACTTGTGATGTCAAGCACACTGCAAGATGACACTGTGCATACCTCATCAGTGTAACTGTGTCGGTGTATCAATATGACAGTTTCACAACCTGGGACATGTTTTGCATTAACCTCTTTTAACCATATTAGTGGACACATCCTGCCTTGCTAATGCAATGAAAGCTTCATAAGATCAGGCTACACAGTATAGAAAGACATACCTCTGCCTCAGTCCTTCCCAGTTCTCAGAAAGGAAATTGAAAAGTGTGGTGTAGCCAGCAGAACTACCTGTGAGCATGTTCAGAACCAGGCGCACATCTGAATCTGTGAAGTTGTCATTGCTTTCCAATAAAGTGATGTTCAGAATCCTGTGGGAAGAAATGTTTTCTGACACGGACTTCAGTAATTATTACTTATAAACATAAAATAACTAAACAGAAATACATGCCACCAGAGTAACATTCCACAAAGAAAATTTCAATATTCGCCAACATTTTGTAACTCAACCTTCAAACCTTTCTGGGATTATTTTTCTAAATTTACCTACCAAAGTTCTGATCAACTTGTAACACAAACCAATATCTTTCAGCTTTAATTTAGTTTTCTTTGCTCCTCACTGATCTGAGTGCCTTATATTTGACTCTTACACATAATAAAGAGTACAATTATTTTCTAAGGTTCAAGATTAAAAGATCGAAACATAAGTATCAGCTTATATAAAAGCACATAATGTGGTTTCCTAGCAGAGGAGGGAAAAATATACTGTATAAGTGTTCACCCTCATAAAGCAGTAAAAAAGTAAGAAATTACAGTATTTTGGAGAATATCAAACTGGTTGCATGAGAAGATGTAGCAGCAGAGAGAGGAGGCTGTTATGTAAATTTCTTTTTTAGAACAATACAGCTATTTATATTAACCTAAATTAATAAATGTAGAGAATTTAGAAGAAACGTGTTGCTTGAAGTTCCCAATCCCATTACAGCCAAAACTTCATATCTGCAGATGTTTTAAATAATATATAATATATTTTAAAAACTTAAAATGCAGCAGTGTGAGAATATAAGGTTAAAGGTCTAATTTGACAACCTTGAAAACATAGCTGCGCTGAATATATTGTTCTAACAGGTTACTGGTATGGTTATTTTATTAGCTTTGAAATAAGTATAAAATGAGCTCTGTACCTCAAGAATTTATGCTACTGTTTCTAAAATAACTTATGCCCAAAAAATGAGGTTTAGACAACTTCAGATGTCTGTTCTAAAAAATTCCAGTGGCAAGAAAGCAGTAACATTTAGCAGGACTACTGGGACTATAATCTGACAAAAATAATTCAATTTTGAGGGCATCAGGTTGTGACCTGTGTTGATTTGACATAGAATGACCCCAAGAAGAAAATGAAAATAAATAAATACAGAAAAACCCTCAAAATATGATAGCCAGTATTAAGACAACAAAACCCTGGTCTACCAAACATACAGTGAAAATAGAAAATGTTCTTCTTACAAGATTATCAATGAAGAATGTTATGTCTCATTTATTTCATTAACCTCAATGTAATGAAACAACTGAATTACCTCTCAACTTTCTCCTGCTGCCTTGGGCAACCTGCCAGTGTCTTAAGTAGGTAGTATCGCTCTGACCAGTTTCTACCAGCTGGAAAATGAATCAGTCTTTGTAGACCAAACTTCCATTCTTCCATTGTACCCCACTGGAACACTGTGCACATATATAGTTCTGGAACACTGAAACCACAAACAACATGTGACTGTCTCCTTTCTCTTATGCCAAGTATAAATTATAAAATTTTACACTGAGGAAAAGCCACAAAACTTAGTTAGCTATGAAGCAAATAATTCTGCAGAAGCACTTTATAATCTAAACCAGGGGTTTTCAATGCATGGCCTATGGATCAAAATTGTTGGCACGCAAGCCCATAACAGTTTTCTTTAAACCAGGCTCATATCAATAACAAACACAGTGCACTTTCTAACTTTCAAAGAAAATGCTAAATCTTTATATTTCAATGCAGAAAAATATGGTTAGTTCAAAATATTCCATGTAGTATATGGCTATCACTGGTGTGAGGGGCAAACATATGGCAACACCATCTGTTTGGTTGTAGAAAGTGCCATTATATAGAAAATAAGTTGTGGTCAGGACCTGCCTAAAAATGACTTACAGTCTGGTTATGGATGTGTTGTGACATCATGTGTGGTGTGTCCTCTAGTGAGAGCTTGGTGAACAATGAGACTACATAGAAGTTCAACAGAATGCATGCATCATGTATAGGTTTATGGTGTTTAGTTTATGGATAAATGCCTCAAGAGTTCTTAATGTGGTGGGCTGTCTGTCAAACAAGTGGACACAGTACACCAGTGAAATGTTTTGCCAGCTGATACATGGGTGAGGTGATACAGTGGTATATCTTTTCTTGTGGATCTTTGGCAGCCTGTATAGCCTTGGTAGCACCAAGGAATGTGGAATCAGCTTCTTTGCAACCTCTCCAGGGATATCTGACTTCTTTGCCTCTCTATCCTGATGGTCAGTTCCATTGTTAGTATCCTGTAGACAGAATCACTCAGAACAGATTTTATCTTGTTATTGTAGTCCTTGCTTGATAGCACAATGGCTGCAATGCCTTTGCCAAAGGGGAGAATTGGGATCTGCTGTTGTTTCATAGATTCAACACAGCATCTTAATTCAGTCTTGATGTATTCTTACTCATCTGCAGCTTGGCATGTCTTATGATATGGCTGGTCTCCTGTCATATATCTCTCCTGCTATATCCATTGGGAGATGTCAGATAGATTGTTCTACTCTGCTGATGACTTCCTTCAAGATGGATCTGGTGTTTGTAGTTAGGGCAAAATCTAGGCCTTTGCTGAAGACAGTGATGGTTGCTGGATCAAGGGCCTTGTCGGAAGCAGTGGATGCTTGAGTGAGGTGTGCCTGGGCCATATCCCAATTGTATAGTCTGAGAGTTAGGGTCAGAGACAGATGCACATGAACAGTTCCTTGGAACTCTCACCTAGTGTGACATATTCTTTCAAGCAGTAGTGCCAAAGCTAGTTCACTGGAGAATTCTTCTTGAGTCAGCCTTATTGACATGATGTTTTGGTTTCATGCAGGCAGAAACAACATGCTAGTCTCTGCAACTGAGCATCAAGGCCAGTGAGCTAAGCAGTCTTGCCTTCTTTTTCTGAAGAGTCTCCAGTCATTGAATAATATGATGCATGACGTGTGATCTATAGCAGTCGCAGCTACTAAATTCAATGAAGTCTTCTCAGGGAATCAGCAGCATCAGATTATGACAGAAAACTGATGCTTTGAGAACCATCTCAGTCCTCATCATCAGGGATGCGATGGCTGCGGAGCCCAGGAAGTCGCATACACATATACACTCTGTCTAGGCTGCTTGCTGCCAGACTGGGTGGCAGATGGGGCTAGTGAGTGGAGTCACGTGCTGAGCTCTGCTTGACCTTGCTTTCCCATTGGTGCATCTCTAGACCATTTGAGTAGATTGATTACTGGGTGTCACGTGTGACAGAGAGAATGCTTTGTCTCTGCTATAGTTGCTGGAACACAGCCGGATCTCGATGGCTTCGCCCACAAGGCAACCCATGTATCTAGATGGCTTCCACAGTATGGAGATACCACTTAAATCCCTGATGAGGACCAAGACACTTCATGTAATGTCTGTTTTATGCAAATATTTGACACATGTAACTACCTGAGAAGACTTCACTCAATTCAAGGAATTGCCAGACATCTTGGTACATATTAAAACTCACATAACTACTTGTGAATGCTCGTTCTAAATGTAATAAAAGTTATAAGAATGCTGGAAGCAACACAGCTCAAACAGAAGAACATAGGAACTCATAAAAAAGAAGTTCTGATCACCAACCTGTCAAAGTACGGCACTGATCTAAGTCAGCAGACAATGGGAGCAACGAGATCACAGCTTTGGAATTCTTGCCAGAAGATATGGGTGTACATTAAGTAACAAAGGTAACAGAACGTCTTGACAAGGACTGTATACTAACAGAATAATGTAAACAATAAAAATTTGAAGAAAATGTTTACCAAGAAATCTGGAGGCAAATTTGTCCAATAAATGAATAATAGGCATTGCACAATGTGAAAATCCACTTATGAAATGCTAGAACAATTGCTTGAACTCAAAGAATTCTTCACCAACTTAGTATCATCTTTAATTATTGCATTTCATGAACCAGTTCAAACTTGTTACCAAACTCTTCACTTAAAGTGCTAAATCAGAACAGAACCACAGCACTTTATCACTTACCAAACAAAAACTAAACCTAAATCAAATGTTTATTTCAACCAGTTAAAAGCCTTGGCTCCAAATCACACTAATAATTAGAATCTTACACATTTCCAGCATTGGGGTCTTCATTCTGCATCCACACTGAGTATGTTTCTCTAGCATCTGTCACACATGGCTGGTGGCCAAGTTGACACAAGCAGAAACGAGCAAGTGACCGCAATTTTGTCTTCTTACTGCATTCATCTGTTTGAGGAGCTCCCAGAGATTCTGTGAGTCTTGTCAGTATTAAACGAGCATACTCCTATAACAAATTCCATTTATTTTAATAACACCATAATTTATGGTTAAGCACTGCTCCATGAAGGCATGAATGGGTGTGGCTATAAACCTTCATGTATTCTTAATCATATGTTGAGATTTGAATCTGAGTTACCTAACCTGTAGCCACTCACTTTACAGACTGAGCTATCAGGACTTCTAATAAATCAATTAACACACAGAATGAAACACAATCTTGTGCATTTGTTTATCATCAACATCATGGCACAATGGTCACAGGTCGTGACTTGTATCATATCTCAGTCCAAAACTTGCTACAGTGATCAAGAATCTGTGGTGATATCTGAGGTTCTTATAACAATGTCCATGAAGATGGTTGTCTTTGGGATGTAGCACCATGTAGTCTCACAGACACTGGCTGACTTTCATAGGAGTTTATCGCCCCAATCATCTGAGTTGTACACTCCAGAAGACAACTACCTTCACATTTTTTTCCTCATTCTGAAGCACAGGACATTAATAAGCCATGAAACAAACAATTGTACAAGTATTATGTGAATGTATGTGGCAGATACTGCAAAGCAGGGTGATTTGTGCACAGTTTAAAAATACTACATCAATTGTAGGGGTCAATTATCACTAGAGATGAGAAGATGATCACAAGTAGTGAATTAGGAAGAACCTATTTCAAAGTACCATCCTGATCTTCTACCTGGAACAAACAAGTAATGTCATAGTCAGGACAATCAGCCTCCAGCCCAGACTGAAACTGGATGCAAGTGAGACACATTACTGTCTTACTACATTGCTTGTTAACATCATACATCAGGCAGACTTAAGTATTACAAAGATCTTTAGAAACTACTAACCTCAAACTTAAGACCAGCATCAGTACCACTGATGCACCTTCCAAGATGGTCGATCATTGTAAACATGACTTCCCAGACAGACAGATCTGTCTCTTGCTCCAGGATCAGAGTCATGTTGAGAGCAGTTGCCATGTCCAATTCTCCTCCATATGCCAGGTTCCAGGCATCGTGCAACAGCTTCGCTCTTGTTGCAGAGGAGATCTGTGGCCCAGAGCCAAGCAGGTAGTCTAAGAGAAGGGCCCAGTTTTGCTGGTCATAGTTCACCATGAACATACCTGTAACGAAACAATAAATTTAGCTCAGTTCAGATTATTGCCTCCAGTTTAACATACAAAATTTTGTGTTCTATCCATAAAGTAGACAAGATGAATGCATATAGGTCAGATCATGTCTGTCTGTCTGTCTGCAATTTTAAACCCAAAAATCATTGGACAGAGTTGATAAAATCTGGTATGGGCATTATGCCATAGTACACTACCCCCAATTCATATATGTTAATCATTAAAGCTGCCTCCCGCTTCCTTGGAACCCTTCATTGTTTCCATAAATTACTGAAGAAATGGAACAGGAGTTTCTTACTTTCTTTGACAAAGTATTTCCCAATTCCATGGGCATGCCATCAAATCCTACACTTTTCCTGTTCCTACTGTTTTAACAGCTTCTTCCATTTCATTATATGATACAGCCTGCTCCTCTTTCTCTGACCTAGTGTTAAGTCCAAATTATCCTTGTATAAAAGATCCTTGCAATGTTTCGTCCGTTTCTCTGCCAATATAAAATTGATTCAGGTGTTATCATTATCTTCAGAGGCCAGTTTTTCAAATATTTTGAAGCTCATTTGCTGTGATCCAGTCATATCATGTTCTATTCTCTTGATAAAGACTTCCCGGCTTTCATGATTCATTTTTATACACTGTAATCCTGCTTTTAATAATATTAAACAGTTCAATAAGAAATAAAGAAAAAAACAAACAAACTTGGGTTAATAAGAAAATGCTGGTAAAATTCTATCAACAAATTTATATTTTTAAGAAATTTCAAGTGATGGATCGCATTAGACAAAATTGAAATGATCTAGGGAACAAACTTCATGCAGGACATAGAAGAATAGAAGTTTATAGAGACATAAATTTGAAGTTCATTTAATTCATTACAAACCAAAACCACACAGAGGTCAAGTGAGGCCATTCAAAATACGGCTATGGAGTTGAAACAGGTTTGATCTTAAGCTGTTCAGGGCAGAAAAAATGCTGAAATAAAGAAATGCCCAGACATCTCACAATATATAAAGCTGCTGCATGCATGGACAACTCACCTATCTCGTCTGGATTGACGATGATGAAGTAGTCGGGCCCGGGCAGGTTGACGATGTTTGTGTGTCTCTCCTCTTTCATCCACATGACTGTATCATGAACAGCACTGGGATCCAGGTTGTCATATGTTACATATATCAAAGGAACCCACCACAGCAGAGAGTCTTGCTCATACACGTCATGAGAATGCTCTTTTAAGAATACATGCTGCAACATTACACCATTAGTAGAACTACAGATACGGGCTTCTACAACCAGCCAGTCCAGTGTTGAATGAAGTAATGGGTGACACATGGACCAGGAAGCTGTGAAATAGGCAGAGAGCTGACAGTTAAAGGGGTCCAAGGCAAAGAAAGGGGTGGAACTACACAGAAGAATGATGCGCGCACCTGACCAAATGCATTTGTGAAGGCTACAACTGCAAGTTGGTGACATTTTCCCTAGATTCTCATGCACACAACACATTATAGCATCTGTTAGAATATATGATTTGAGAAAACTGATGCCTAATTTGAACATCATGGGTATTACAGTGGAGTGAAACTGTTAAGCAGAATAATGTGATCAAACTGGCCATTCAGTAGTTCCAGAAGTACAAAACCTCCCTTTCACGAATTCACCTCATGCACAGAGCATGAAATAAATAGAGTTATTATAACACTTGTGAGAAAATTTATTTTACATCAAACTAATTAGACCAGCATAAATGAATGGTCATTATAGACTGTCTGTACTGACTGACTCCGTGATGCATTAAGATGTGTAAGTAGTTAATAGATAATAAATTGATCAAAAAATTCCTTTTCACTATGCAACCCTCTTTATCATCGTCATCAGAAATAGCAGCACTATATCCTGCCACTGAACCCTGCTCTAAGTCCATTCACTTCACCACAACCTACTTACTAAAGAGTGTTTTTAATATCATCCTTTTATATATATATGGCTTTGCAGTGTAAAGTTTGTATGAATTACTTCTTACTTCCCCCATGTGTGTTTTTATCCTATCAAAATCATGCTAAGTCTTGGTTTATTTAATTTCTTCAGTTACTCAAGATTAAACAGAAGCAAATAATGATGAACTGGAAGGAAGTGGCCATGGCATTGTCCTGGCAACTGCCTGAACAGACTATCAAATCACAAAAAGCCTCTGGTATTTGGCTGAATCTGGGTCCTTCCAGACACAAAGCCAGATTAAAATGTCCAGTTTGTACTGACATCTTTAATGTAACACTAAAGCACCTACCTGCTCTACATGGGCCGAGTTATCATCATAGTCTCTTGTCACAGTTACCACTGGAAAACGATCTTTTGTAATCCAAGACTTTGCAATTTGTTGCACTGTGATTGGTTCCTCTAGGGTCATATCTTCTCTTGCTTGACTGGTTAGTGCTCTCCAAACTTCGTCTTCATTATATGTTTTGAACTTCCTGCAGATCAGATACAGAAATCAATTTGAAGATGGTTGTCTTCTGTGTTGTAGTGTCATGAGTATGGTAGAAGTTTACTACATTTTCAGAAGTCCTTGCTGCCTCTGTCATAAGGGTGATAATCAGCCTTCTTCATCCTCACCACCATGAGACCCTCAAATCCTACATATTCTACCAGACTACATGGTGCTACAACCCAGAAGACAGCCATTTTAATATATATTTATTTTCACAGTCTATACACAAACGTTGTAATTAAATGATGTAGTTAAAATTATATAATATTAAAACATTATGTAGTATAAAATATTATATTTTGGCGCTTTTTATCGTAAATACGATTTTACATTATTTAGCGCTTTTTTATTTCTTAAACGACATGTTTCGATGGATAAGACCTCATCTTCAGGTTTATATCAATTTTATAATATTACAGATTATCCTCACCAGCTATCAGACGTAAGTCACTCCGCACAACACATCTTGAAAATAAACGTCTGACTACAAACAAACAACTCATCATGAAAATAGAAAATCTACAAACAAACCACAGATCAATATAATACATTGCATAAAAATATCTAATAATTTTAAAATATTATAAAATTGATATAAACCTGAAGATGAGGTCTTATCCACATTTTAATATTAACCACCATGTACACTTAGTGAATTTCTGAAGTCATCTATAGTTTCGGACATCGTTAAATCAACATGTGACAAAAAGAGTCTGATTTTAATTTATTCTTAGCTTTAGCTATGGAATGAGCTGTACTCATAGTAACATGTCAGCCACATTGATTCACAGTGCAGTATGTCAAAGACCGAAATTCAGGACACAGATTTTTGATCAGACTTCATAAGTCTGATAATACAGATCACAACTTCAGACCTCAGATTGTGAGTGAATGTGACCAGAGGAAGCAGAACATTTGCCAATCAAATGTAAACTTTAGTGGTATCAAACAAGCAATGTTGGCTCAATACAGAATTGTCTCTTCTGAATGATTTAATTTTTGATATTTCCTGACAATTCATGAGTAAATTTGCCTTTCTATCATCAGTCTTAGTACTGCCCTTGCCTGTGTTTTCATGGTGTACAGAAGAGAATACATTTTTATTGAACAAAATGGTAAAAACTGTGTTCTAAATAGTATTCAGTTATCAAAAGAATCTGCATATTTTAATGAGACTACAAAAGACAAAGGAAGAATCTAAACATCACTGAATACATATGAAACTGAAATGAATACTATGACATCATGTTATAAGTAAAGAGCAAGAACAACACATACTTCTCCTGAAGGAATTTTCTTAGTCCATCTCTGAATGTGACTTCTGTAAGAGTGTAGTTCAGCATTCGGAGCAGCCACTGAACTGAAAACAAACACAATATTATGAGTGTTATGTGTCTAATGGTAAAACTGACTCAGTAACAGGTCTCAGATCCATACTGTACTCAGACTTCAAAGACCTTGCAGTCTCCATTATCAAGAAAAGTCAGAATAGAAAATGTATTATTTTACTTAAAAGAAAAAGATTCTTTTAACATTAAAAAATTCAAAAATAAAAAAGGTGAAAGGGAAATCTAAATATAATTAGTTAAATTTTGTATCTTTAATTCAAGCCTTTAATTTGTAATTCATGGCAGAACAAGACTTTTGGACATAATCATAGCCAATCTATTTGATTCTGGATGATGCAAAGAGATTCATATTAAATCAATTTTTTTTATGCATTTTCATTATAAGCCTATGACTATGTACTTACTTATTCTGTTCAGCCAAGCCCTTCCTGAGAAGCCAACAGTTGCTCAGCCACTCAAGAAGTTCACAACATTTTTTGGAACCCAAAGGTACATTACCGTGTTCACAAGAGCCCGCCTCTGGTCCCTATTCTGAGCCAGTCCATAACAACCCATCCTACTTCTCTAACATCTATTTTAGTATTATCTTCTCACCTACACCTAGGTTTTCCCAGTGGTCTCATTCCTTCTGGTTTGCCTACCAAAACCATTTGTGCATTCCTCTTCTCTCCCATGCGGGCTACATGCCCTGCCCATCGCACCCTCCTTGACTTGATCTGTCTAATTATATTTGGTGATGAGTACAACTTATGAAGCCCTCATTAAGCAACTTTCCCCAGCCTCCTAATAATTCATTCCTCTTAGGTCCAAATATTCTCTTCAGCATCCTGCTCTCAAACACCCTCAGTCTATGTTCCTCCCTTAGCGTCAGAGACCATGTTTCACACCCACACAAAACTACAGGCAAAATTTTAGTTGTGTATTGTTTAATCTTTACGTTTTTAGACAGCAGACGAAAAAACAAAAGGTGCTGAACTGAACGGTATCAAGCATTACCCACATTCAATCTGTTCTTAATTGCTTCATTAATCAAAATTTGATTTGTTGCTATTGTCCCCAAATATCTGAACTTTACCACATTTTCAATGGATCCAATAGCTATCTTTATGTGATGATTTTACCCTGCATTCTGGTGACAAGACAGCAACATATATTTAGTCTCCTATACACACACATTCTTAGTGACTATTTTCTATAACTGACTGCCATAGCTACTACTTGATGTATTAAACGGTTGCCAAAGAATTAAAAGACAGTGGACATAGATTGCTTTGTAACTATAAAATCTTGGGAACAGTTGCTCAGCATATCCCACTCAAACACAGAGAAAACAAGTTAACTGGAAGAACACATTTACTGCATCAGTCGCCTGTTGAAAAATTACTTAAATTATGTTTCATCAGTAATCCAGAATTTAAGTGTTCTTAAATTTTCTAAGAATTCTGGTCAACGGCCCATGGATATGAATGAATAAACAGCACTGACAATGCAGATGTGATGTGATACAGAAAATGTTCCTCATATCATCTACTACTACTCTTAGGAGAGTGAGCTTCATAATAGGCTATCATCAACATCATCATCATGAGTGGTCAATGTGTTATAATTTCAGATAGTAATTTTTTATGTATAAAAAAATTCTTCTGAGAATAATTCATTATACTTAGTCATCATGAAAGCTTCAGATCATACAAGTATAATTATATATGATTATTTGTAAAAGGAAGCCTGATATTTGCAAATCATTTTCATTCTCAGCTATTATTACTTGATTCCAACAGATGAATTTTAAAATGCTGTATGGTGAATTCAAATATACACTTGTTAAATCACTGCCTCATTCTTAGTTCAGTGTACTTACTTCTAATAATCTTGATGTACTCTTCCTGAGAGCCAAGACTGGAATATGGATGGCGCTTGCTGAATTCATAATACAGAGAGTAGCCTGTCACTAGATTCCAGTTCCATTTGTCCTATAAATTATGAAAGATACCAAACACAGCTTAGAAAAACTGTTTTCCATATCCTTAGCAGCTACCCCCTGCAGATACCACAAATTTGGTTTAAAATTATGTTTTTACAGATAGATAAAGTAAGAAGACAAAATTTTATTTGCAAAAAATTAAGACACTGGTTAAATTCAGAATACATACTGAATATAATTCTGAGACTAAGCAACTACATCCCAAGTATCCAAAGAGCGTATATATATATATATATATATATACATATATAATAGGAGTGTTGCACTTTTTTTTGGACTTTTTTCACCTCACTCCACATATTCTTGATATGGTTCACTTATGGTAGCCAGTCAATGAGTTTGACATCAGCCTGCCATAACAACCATTCCTGCACCACATGAGAATCAAGAACAGAGAAGTGGTTTTGTTCGGTGACCAGACAAAACCGTACAAGACAAAACCGTACACGAAAATTGCGCACAGAAAGAAGCTCACTGTCATGAATGCTCACACGAAAATTACTCACACGGACAAATGCTCACACGGACAAATGCTCACACTGACAAATGCACACACTGATAAATGCTCACACTGACAAATGCTCACACGTA